AGCCATTACGAACATCATCCGGACAGACTAAAGCTCCCAACGGTCAGAGCCACTCGAAATCAAGTAGAACTCATGTCACCGAATTCGGGTTTCCGGGCTCACGTCCTCCTGTTGAATCTTGCTCAGTCCTCGTTCATGCTCTCTTTCGTTAATTGATCATAAGAAACGGACTTCTGCACCCGTCTATACCAGACCATCATCGCATCGGTCTCGTCCCGGATTTACCTACTATATTATTCCCCAATTGGTTCCCCAAACTCACACTTCTTCGGAAAGAGGTTGAAGGGGTTCGAAAATGCTCCATCAGACGTCTTGAGTTCAGATGCGGGGCCGATCCGGATGCCTCTCACTAGCCGCCGATGTCAGAGCTCTCGGCATACCGTGTCCTCTCTGCTCCAAAACAGCTCACAGACGTACGAATGTCCTTGATAAACTGTTCGCGACTTGCACAAACAATCTCCGACGCAGTGAGACAGTCCAACCTCGTTTCATCGCACTCACCAACACAATTAACTTGCTCTTCGCTTGGCGAATCTCTGGCCGACCGCGAAAATCCGCACATATGTACCTTTTCAGATTGTCTCTCACGCTTAGAGACCCCTCGTTACGTCATAATATAGGAGTTAATCATTCGTTGATCATCATGACCCTACGAAGATGATTATTCTCGGGAGCCTCGGCGTTCGCTCGATCCTCTCTTTCATGAGCGCATTCCATTGCTGCACCTTGGGTCTCAATCGGGGCGATCCAGTTATGATGAGGAGGAGCAGCAGGATTCGAGAGAACTCAATTAGCGTCTCGAGACGCGATGCCTGGCGAGCACTCGGGCTATGAATGGGGCTCTGGAATTTCGATATCCCCGCAGAGCCTGAGTCGAATGAGTTTCTCGCTGGCAGAAATATAATACTTGCTCAGGGAGCAAATGGAGTAGACGTTTTGCTCATCGGTACTGCGGGTGGAAAGGAAGGAGTCTCCGTAGGGAGAGGCCGAACTGCGGAAAGAACCTTCACAGAAGTCGGCTCATCTCTGCATGAATTAGGTAAGCCATGGATTGAGTATGACAGCATTTCTCCCAGGGACCGAATCACGCGAAACGTCATGTGAGTGCCAGGTCCAGCCTCGTGGGTCCCTCGTTCACAGATCAGGTGATGTCCCTTATTTCTCGGCCTCATCGGTGAGCACACGACTGATTGAGTTCTCGTTCTGGGTGTTCACAGATCGAGTTGTCAATTTCCTCGGCTTCCGTTGATCAGAGCACTCCTTGAAGCCGGGCGCTCATCAGCCCAAGAGTCCTCTCTCTTTCCGTGCGAGAATTCGAGAATCATTACGCTCGCCATTTGCTGATGCTCGCTCGGGCCCAGAAGAGCGAGAGACCCATTCCCATTGATACAATTTCTACACCGATGTTGGGAGCTGCGACTCCAAAGGGAACATGATGATGATTCCCCGATGCAGAGCTACTAACTAGCGTTTTGCGCCTGTGCGTAATATGTACAGAGTCGAGGCTTTCGGCAAAGACTCTCTTCGGTCAACCCGAGTAAAGCCGACGGGTTCGGTGTCCGATCTACGCTTGAATCTCGAATGCAGACTCCTCGCTTCACCGAGCTCCTCGAGTGGATTGAGAATACGACCCCCGCCACCTCAGCTGAACCGCTGACTGAGGCACTGCTAGCATTACAGGTATCGCGGCGCGACATGGATTCAAAATGGAATCGCGGAGAAAAGGCCGCGATTGTGGAAAATTAGGAAATTTGGGCGAGACGGAACCCCGGTAGCATCTGATGTCGCACTTGCCGCCGGCATCGATACCGCGAACAGAAAAACGGTCTTCAACGGTATCCCGTCCCCGGTGTTGTCGATTCTGGTTATGGTGGAGGCGGTGGACCCGCTTGCCGTCATTGTCGGAGCGGCCGAATTTCGCTTCGCAGGCAGTCAGACAGACAGATGTGGGAGAATAGGAATAATGAGAAGAAGCAATCGGAGACAGTGAAACAGCCTGAGCTCCAGCATCCGAGACAGAATTGGAGCAGAAATCGAAGACAACAGGGAAAAGCGCAAAGACAGCGACAGAAAGCGCCCGAGCCCGTTCCCCGATCGATCGACCGACCGACCGAACCAACGATTCGTCCATCGATCGATCGATGGGTCGATGGATGAGTGAAAAGACGGACCGACGAGTGGTTAGACCGACAGACGAACAGAGGTAGCGACAGACAGACGAATCACTCGCTGTTTTTTTCATTTGATTGATCCGAGATTGGTCCAACATTGGAATGTTCCTTCATCATAAGAAGTTTGCAAGCGATCCACGACGGATCCAACAGAAGATCGAGCGTCAAAGAGCTGTCAGCGGCTGCTTGCAACAAGAGCCGCCATGAACATCAGAGAGTTGACGGAAATTGCGCACATGAACCCGTTGCATGTTTCGCCGGTCCAGGGAACGAGCATGGAAAAGAGGCATCGATAGCCGCTTCTGGATATCGGCCGGAGTTGATACCGAACGCTATCAAAAGCAAACATTCCTAAAACTCTCGGACGATCCCCAAGCAACGGCTTCCCGTTGGATGAAGTTTGCATAAGCCCGGAAGGTGATGAGCTTCGAATGCGAAACGAGCCTTCAATCCCAGATGTCACGGCGAACGCGGTGACGGCCGAAAAAAATCCTGCTTTCAGGCTGACGATCACCCAGTTCTGTCAATCTGAAAACGTGCAGACAACGAACATGTAGAAAGACGAGTTGTAGAACCACTGTGGAAGTCGTATGACCTGCCGCCAGCTTTGACAGAGCGTAAGTATGTTGTTGTGCCAAGGGTGCCATCAAGGTGGTCATAAAGGAAAGCAGACAAGCGGATCCGGGCTCCTGATTCAGAATAATTCTTTCTGGTTGCGACTCATCGGAAAATGGTTTCCCGTTGTCTTTCATCGAGATATGGTGATTGTTCCGAAAGAGGCCCACTCACGCGACCCTCCGAATTCCACCGTGAGCGTACGTTACGACTTCACGACTCACAATTCACAATCAGCCAGCCAGCCAACCAACCAACCAACCAGTCAGTCAGTCAATATGACGTCCCCCGGCCGAGCAAGCAGTCGAGCGATCAATCAATCGGCCCATCGAAATGAGGATGCTTATTAATGACGCCTGTCTTGGATGCAGAAAATGATTTCGACTTATTCGAGTTCTGCGACATTCCCTCATGCGATCAACGGTCTGAGGAGAGGAAAAAATGCAAGTGCATCGTTGCGATCGCGTATTAGCTTCCGGCTTCCAAGAATGCTCGGAACTCTCCAGCGTAAACCGGTCTGGACGTTTTCTGCTCTTCTACGGTGTCGCCACCGTGGTCGAGGTGATATCTATACCTATGCATCCATTCCCGGACCATTAAAAACAAAAGTCAACAGACAGATGTCCATCCCGAGAATCTGCGCTGCAGAAGCTTCTTCCTGGACGCCTCATTGGTGCTACTGAAGCTCGCCATCGCGATTTTCTTCTGTCGATTCCGGAAAACGATAACACACGGCATATCTCCAACGGACGCTAGTTAGCACACGCGATCCAGTTTGCGTCATGCTGTCCGTCATTCTCCGATCTGGGTGAACTGGACGCCAGAAGGAAGCTCTCGTTGCGCTTCTTCCACAGCTGACTTTCTTCTCCGATTGCATAGGTGGCATTGATTGTCATCGATCCATCTCGAGCCCCCAATGACGGGCGAAGATCCCGCTTGATCGGTTGGGATTCCGAAATTCGCTATTCGATTCGAGCTCGCAAACATAATTTGGGGGGATATCTCATCTCCTGCGAAATGTCTGCATGCTGCTACCTATAGCCGAGGAAGTCTCAAGATATTTTTGTCGTCACTTTGCCAACATGGGAACACAGATCGACAGTTATTGTTCGGGTGGGTCCATGAATTCGATGGAAGTAGCCATGAGCAACAATCGATTGGATTCCCTCGGTTCATTGTACCCCCCCCCCCTCGAATGGGGCACGACGTCGAATATTGAGTCACCGGGCAAGTCCACAACCTCGGCCGACCCTCCGATTAGAGCGAGCCCGATCGATTGATTGAGTGAGATGAAGATAGATGAGAACGGTCGCCGGAATCATAGAATCAAGAATCTTACTTATTTCCGGTGCCCGAGCCAAGTCTTCTGATTCATACGATACCGTCTGCAGTTCGAGAAAAGAGAGAACATTGGGCTCTATTCCGGATCTCGATGCCAAAATGTCCGATCAGTACATTTTGTCATCTTCGTATATCATTTATTGACGCGTATTTCCGAGTCGACCGCGGAATGGCGCTTAATGCTCGGGACTTCTATCGAAACCATACTCGACTAAAGTTCACAAGTTCCTCAGCCATTCTGGGATTTGCTGTTTAGCGTTTCCGAGGATCTTCACAAGCTCTGGCCCAAACCTTCTATCAGCAGCGGTCATTAACGTATAGCTGCTTCCAAAGGCATTGGCCCGACCCGTTCGACCAACTCTGTGAACGTACTCTTCGATATTTTGCGGAAAATCGAAATTCACCACAACTGTGATTTCAGGCACATCGAGACCCCTCGAGGCGACGTCGGTAGCGACGAGGATCCTCGACTTCCCGGTCCTGAGGTGTCGGAGCGCGGCTTCGCGCTCTCGTTGATCGCGATCTCCGTGGATAGACTCCGCATTGATGCCACTTTGCTGCAATTTTCTGGCGACCCCGTCGGTTGTCAGCTTCCTCCCACAAAACACAATCGCTCTGTCGGTCGGTTTGAGACTCTTCATCAGGTTCAGCAGGATCGGAAATTTTTCGTCAGAGCGAACCATTCGGAACCGCTGAGTCACTGTCAACGCGGAACTCAGATCGAGGGATCCAATGATCACCTGCACCGGATCCTGAAGATATTTCGCCGACAGCTTCCGAACGTTCGGCGGCCATGTCGCACTGGTCATCACTGTCTGTCGGTTCGAGGTCATGTAATCGAGTATCTGGCGAATCTGAGGCTCGAAACCCATGTCCAGCATCCGATCGGCCTCGTCCAGAACCAGATAGCTGACCTTCCTCAAGGAGACAGCCATCATCTCGACGAGGTCGTTGAGACGACCGGGAGTCGCGATGACGATTTCCGGGTTTTTGCGCAGCTGGCTCATCTGATCACCGCGACAAGCTCCTCCGTAACAACAGGCCGAATTGATATTGCGATAAGTATATTTCCGAGACTCATCGTAAATCTGAATCGCAAGCTCCCTCGTCGGTGACAAGACGAGCACCGTGGGTCCTTCGTACCTTTTCGAGACCGTGGGTGCTTGGCCTCGGATGTGAATGAAGGCCGGGAGCAAGAACGCCAGAGTTTTCCCGGTTCCGGTCTGAGCGATGCCGACCATGTCGCGACCACTCAATAGAATCGGCCACGATTGGCATTGTATAGGGGATGGCTTCTCGAACTTCGCAAGCAGCTGTTTCATAATTTCCGGGTACTCGCCGAATGCGTGTTCAAACCGCATAATAGGCTTGGGAATTTCAGCAGCCAGAGGCTGCTTGCTGAGAGATCTGACGTTGATATCCATGTTCTCTTTACGGAATGCTGAAACCTGTTCTCTAGTCAGAGCCGTGATTTCCGGATGCTCTTTGTAGAAGTTCTTCACCAAAACACCTTCGATCACGGGGGAGTCCTGACTTTCAACTCGAATCGGAGCGTTCCATCCATCCAGTGCTGATGAAAATTTGGCGCCCTGGGTTGGGAGGGAGCCAGTTCTTGCATCCGGTTTCTCCGGGGACTTGGGGAAAGTTTCTTCGATTTTCGGCAGCAGAGTAGCAACCAAGTCGTTCAGCAGCTTCCGGGCCATGATTCGAGTGACCAAATCCGGGTTTCCGATCTGGAATTGAAGAACTCGGAGATGGAAATGGTTCGAGGGAATGAGCCGATATGAACACGTGGTCTGAATCACTAAAAGCGGCTCTCACCCTCACTAGCGCTCGATTCCTCTCGAGTACGACCTGGAAAGTACACTGACTTTTCGCGGCCAGTTCCGCTGCTCTCTCGCTCACTTCTTTCGCGATCGATAGGGGTACCTCCACTAAAGATTCGATTACAGCTTGCTTACGATTAGGAGCCGCCGTTGGGGAACTCGATTGCACTATGGGGTTAGGAGCCGCACCACCGGCGGAACTAGGTGACGCGAAAGCAGTCACCGGATTGAGTGCTGGAGCTTGCTCTCGAGCTATCGCTTGTCGGGGTACGTTCGTTCCTGGCTGTGTCGGAGTACGAAGAGGACTCACGATGCTCGGGGCTGGGAACGGACGCGCTGATAGTGGAGCCGCTGCTCGTGGAGGGAGAGCCAGAGTCGGAGTTCGTGGCTGGACACGATTCCCGATAACAGAGAGTACGGCGGATCGAGGGATGGGAGGCTGAGCTCCCGGGGGCAAGATCGGCGCCGCATTGGTAGATGTCGGCTGACCGTTTCGAGATTTGAGGATAAAATCCTCGACCATTCGCTTCGCGGCCTCACAATGGGCAAGGTCGGGACCGTTTATCTGAAACAAGGCGATCTAGACAGAACCCCGAGACACCAGCGGATAAAGACAGGGATACCGCGAGTGGATAAGCCCGAGCTTTTCGCTCCAAAATATCGATCTCTGGGAATGACGCATGAGAAAACAATCAAGCCCAACTCACGAACCTCTAAAATAGCGCCCTTGCTGTTCCGAAGGAGACCGAGAGAACAACTCGAATTCTCTTCGAACGCCCGAAGTTGCTGACCAGCTACGCCTCTCACATGGTTCACGACATTCAGAGGGATTTCGATCTTCAACAAAACCATCTCGATTCCTTCGAAGCGAAAAACCGCGGCACGAAAAACGAAAAATGCACGCTTGCGGAAAAATATGTACACCAGTTTTGCGCGGTGTCACTCAGGCGGCCGTTGAGATCGGAAGCGCGGAAGTCCGACGAAACGGGAGCGCTTATTTGAAAGTTGTTTTTGTTCCAACTCAACACACGCGCGACACATTGGCGGTGTGCGGTGTGCGCCTCGAGCAGCATAGGCGCATAGCCGATGAGGACGACGTGAAACCGAAAGAAACTTGAGTTACGCGGGATAATGTTACAGGCCCCTCCCCGGAACGACGGATCAGCCATGCAGGAAAGTGTCGCCCCGATTCATTCAGAACCCAATCTTGGAAATCGTTCGAGTTCTCGCAGTCGGTGAAGGAGGAGACCCACTTCCGCGTTGATTATTATCTGTCTACGAGTCCCCTCAGCTGCGAGAATTCTCGAAGGAGATGAAAGATGAGCGCGTTTTCCTCAACGTGATAGAATTTATTCACTAGGGTTCAACATGGCTCGAGGTATTTTCCCAGACCGACTTCGGAGTAAGGTCGGCGTTCGAAGCGACTTGTCTAGCTCAGGTTTGTCAGAGTGTAGTACTTTGGCTCTATCAGCGGTGCTGACTGTGGAGAGGGACTCGATTGGGACGATTCGTCCGTGAGTACATCAGGGATCAGGCGGTAGTGACGTTTGAGGGTCGCAGAAATCGTCGCAAGGCTCGGAGTTCAAGGCAATTGCTGGAGAGATCTCTTCACTCGTTCCATCTCTGTGTCTAACTCCTGACGCATACTCTGCAGCTGGTCTGTCTTCTTCTGTAGTACCTGGAATGCATTGAGAGAAAAAGATACTCATGAGTAACACGAAGAAGAATTCTCGGAGTGGTTGTTCGTCTGGTTCGAATCGTTCACATGAATGTTTTCGGATATCCTGGAACTTGGGCGGCATGGGGTAGAGAAACTCACCTCAGCGAAACCAGCGACTCGATCATTCATCTCGATGAATTGCTTCACTTTTTGGTAGCACTCTTCGGGTTCCTGATCCTCTTTTGATTGGTTTCCCCGATCGGGAGGAAGACCCGGCGACGCGGAGAATGAGATGCAATCCGGTTGCAACGAGAACACGACGTCCGCAGGGGAACAAGCCAAATCTTCCTCGATCTGCTCGAAAGGTGGCGGCTGAGGCCGAGAAGGCAGTGCGGTTTTTCGTCTGAACAGCTCCATCAATGGAGCGTCGCGCAGCAAAAACGTGGAGCTGCGACCACTCGTCAGGATAGGTTCACCACCCTCCTACTCGGCTTCGACCCCATCGGGACAATCTCTGAGAAATTCCATCGATTCCCAGCTCACGATGATTCTTTCTGCTTCTATCTGTAGAGCTCCTTCCGCCGGCCTGATCAAGGGGTTTCTGAAGCGCGACCCGAGTCCTAGAGACGTGAAGCGATGGATATGTGCGCAGCGAGTCTGCAGTCTCCTATTTATGTTTTCGGTTGCAACGACACATGTAATTGTATGAGGGAACAGCTCCCAAGCAGAAGCGATCAGGCCGCCCTAGGCGAAACGCGCGTCGGTCGCCCGCCGCATCCTGAACCGCTTCCAGGCACGAAAAAAAACCGAGAACTGAACGATGCTGCGTGTAATTCCCGGCTTTCTGGTCCACTCTGCTCCTCCTGCCACACAGAGTACCACCGAACAGCTGTGTTTCGAAATTCCGCCCTGCTCGCCCTGCTTGTCAGTAGCTTCAGTCGGAATATTTCGAAAATCGCCCGCGAACGAGACATGCGTCCCTTCCAAGCCGAGAGACGGAGGAACTTTGTTGAGAAGTAAATGAAATGATGCTCCCACGTCAGGATGATGGAAGAATGGAAAAGTGAATGGAGTCGGTGAATTGCATCATTCTAGCCGGTCCGGATCGTATCAGATAGCCCGAGCCTCATGCCCGACTTCGGCGGTCGAAGAACGGCTGGTTTGGCTGAAGTACTACCTGGGTATGCCTGAAGCGCTTCCTCTCACAGTTATGATGTCGAGAGGTTCTGCTTCTTGACGATCTTCGGTCTAGAGGCGTCTTTCCCCATGGGGGATGCGCCTTAACCTTAATTTGGTGAGGTACTGGATGCGACGAAATCAGCCCATTGCATTGAGACGCCCAAGATCCAGAGGAGCGAGCGCTGACCGGAGGAATCATCCCTCTTGGGCCGGAGTCCCTTAATCCAGAGGAGCAGATCTGAGGAAGACTTCGACGAGGTGCCCGGACTGATCAATGCAGACATCGATTTAAGATGCATGACAGATTCGTCTTTCAGATTCATGACATCATAAGCCGCGGGTCTGTCAAAAGTGGGTGGATCGCTTCCTCTTTACCGCGCGCTGAACAAATCAGTGTCCCCAATCTACGTCTTATGGTCACCCCGGATCAGGCAGATTGAGAATGTGGGAGATCGATGTAGTCGGAACGACTTGTAGGAGATATGAGATCCACGGATAATTATGAGACCAAAGCAGAAGTGCATGTCGCTCCGTGGGAGTCTGTCGGGTCCACATTGAAAGCTCTCCGGAGGAGCTCGGTCGAGCAGTCCTCTCGGTGTCTCCTGGCGATTGTGAACGAAAGAGCCGCTACGGAGCTGAACATATCCAATGGAGCTGGGGGGGTCTAGCGCTGGGCTCTAGAGATGTTCTCGAAAGAACTGTCGACATGGCAGTCGATTCGTCCTTGCGCAGATCAGCATCCTTCGAGTAGGTGGAGCAGAATTATATCATGCTCTCGGATCGATCGGATAAGTGGTTACGCTTCGAGATGATTGGAGCCTTCAATATCGGCACGATTTCCCGCGCCTATCCATACACGTTCAGCTGAATATAGGGCCGCATTTTGGCAGAATATACAGATGAGCCACGCGATTGCCCTCTATGTCCCGTACGACTTCACGTCGCCGGGAACTGTCGCACTCTACCGATGAGACGCTATTTATTCTTCGAAGTCTCGGTGATCGCGCGAATCTGCTCGAGATGCGTCGAGATCACTTCCCGCGTCACCCGCCGCGGACGATGCACATAAATAAATGTCCCATGACTGACAGGTGCGTCGGGCATTGTGGATAGGAGGTAGGCGTGATTCCGTGATGAAAGTTGCGTTCGCGATGAACTCTCTCTGAATGTTTACATCTCGAGCACTGTGCGCGTTCGGAACGCGCGATGTTCCTATCTAAAACTCATGAATCGAGCACACAACAAAATCAGGCGATCCTTTCCGTCGACCATGGGTGCGTTCATTGGATGGGCAGCTTTCGCCATCAAGCGCAGGAAGAACGACAGCCGAATTTTTGAAGAGTTAGAAACTACTACTCGTTTCCTCGACAACAACTGTCAATCCGTCAACGCCGAGAGAAGGAGCCAAGAAGCAGTGACACGGATGCTGAAGGAGCAGCTTTGCACTCTCCGCAAGTAAGTCACAGTTTCCGCTGCGAAATGGAACGAGACCGCTGGAGCTGAGCTCTCGCTCGCGGGAGTCCCTTCCGTAGTGCCCCTGCCAGTACTATGTGTATATGGACAGATGGAACTTATTGTCATCTGAGTTACAGAACGATGGCGGCCCATAGTGAATTCATCACCGTCCTTCGAGAACACGACAAGGTTTTGCTGAAGAAATACGAAGAAGCGAAGCGCGAACTGAAACGCCTCGACAGCAAGAGAGTCCGCGTGGAGAAACACTATCGAGCGTCTCGCCAGCGTCTCAACGATCTCATCGTGGACATGGAGGACGAGAAACGGAAAAACGGCAGCCGACCTCAACGAGACAACTCCTGGCTAACACAGACACTGTAGTTTCTCCTTCAGGGTGTATTCACGACGGATAGCGCGCACCTGATTCTATCTCCTCGAGATGACTTCGGCCACTGATGCAGCTCTCTGACCCTCTCACCCACACGGGGACGGGAGAGCTGAAGGCTAGTTGTATCAGTCCAGCTGTATGGCTCAGCGCAGAAGGTGTCGAACGAAGACCTTTAACTTGTGATTCTGCGGAATGATTCATTACCAGTGGGGGAGGATCCTGACGCTAGCTAGACATGCTTCATATCCTATCCTTACCCATGCTTGGAATTGGGCGTCGAATGAAGTCTTTTCTTGTTCGATCAGAAGAAAGTGGAGAGTTTTCGTTACCGATATTAGACATAATGTTCCGAATCGAGAGGAAACATCGATGATCACAGAGCTCGGGATGTGTTCAGATCCTCATCGTCGCCCATCGAATGCAGGAATTGCCTCATTGTCTGTGCTACTGATGTGGTTCCTATTCTCTTCCCTCGACGCATGGGCCATCCGGCGGTGGAAAATCAAAAGCCGGGTTGTGATCCTGTGATGATGCGGTACCTTACCGACGGTTTATTTGAGCGACGTACATCTTTTCGTCGCGAATATGCGACATTTGATCGGAATTGACATCGATGCTTATCATAAATATGTCAAGTTCAAGTTTTCCTAATGGCATCGACGGCCGACCTACAACCCCATGCTGAACAAATTCATACCTTTGGGTTTTTCTGAAAAGTCTAGAGGTACCTCGAATGCGATGCAAGGCATTGGCTTCTAATGCCGTCTCGATGTTCTCGTCATGTCACTCCCCTCAACTCGTTCCCAGACGCTTCGATGATGATTATGATACACTTCACTCGAGCGAGCTAAACTCAATGTTGCGTCCGAGCTCGCCATTAGTTGCTCCCGAAAGCCGTTCGCAATGCATCACATTTCTCTCGCAACGCGACGACGGGGAAAAAAGCGTCTCAGAACAATTGTCGACAGCGAAAATTCTCAAGTTCTACTCGACTTCGCGTCCGACTCTGGTGACAATCGTTCTCCGCTATGAATTGTACATTGGAGGTCGAGAAGTACAAAGTTTAAATTACCACTTCTTCCTACCTAACGAATTAAAGTGTATGTTCGTTGTCGGTGGTTGTCGATCCGACTTTCCCGCGAAGGCACGACCTTGGTTGTCTAAAGATGGGACTCTTCTCCGCTATGATCACCAGTTGCTGAGTTTCAGTACGTTTCCGAAGGTTTCTCTGTTCGACCTGCAATTATTAGGAGGTTTCAATCCATTGGTATGCGTAATTCACCGTGTCATTTGCTGAATATACGTAGTATTATCAAAAAGCGAAATCATAATAATTGTGGGCAGAATGTCCAGCGCGGGTGCGTGCTCAGCTCAAATTATTCAAGAGGCGCGCAATCTCCTCCCATATTTCGAGGTGGATGCCTGAGCGACGAAAAACCGGCAAACGGTAAGGATCTCGACTGGCTGCAACTTTAAGAAGCCCAGCTGACCATTGTCGGATAATCGAGCAGAAGATCTCTAATGGAGCTATTCGATCCCTACTCCGGAGGCGAATGTCCGACAATGGACGTTCGCGCCACTCGGTCACTAATGATCCGACTCGAATGGAACTCCTGACAGGTGGACATCGATAGAATTCTCTAGAGCTCATCCCGTCTAAATAACCTCAATGGATGGAATAATTTTGAGGTCTCCGTGACGTCATGAGAGACACGGGTCCTTGATATGAGTTATTCTGTTACACACTGAAGTTTCGCATGATTGATGATGACTCATTGATGCGAGCGAGAGAACGAGGACTAGAGAGGCGGAGAAACCAATTCCACGCCGATGATCATGCGATGACCGAATCGACGATGGAGCACGGCGAATCGCCGTGCCGGGTCCAGAGCGAAATAAGCTCGACATCCGCTGAATGGCTGAAAGTAACCCAATTAGAAACTCAACGAGCCCGGAGATAATTAGCGGAGTTACTCTGAACACGGAGCAAATGACGACCCGGGCATCATTTGCACCTCCAGCCAGGACGCCGAACGACACGAAACGCGGACGGGGAACCGATCGCTATTAACAGTTCGGCGGACGTGGACAACAGCGTGTTAGAAACCATTGAACACCGTGGACAACGTTCAGATGATCCTTCCGGAACCCCGAAAACATGCGGAAACAAAATTTATAGCAAGGCGGGGGCAGTTCGGGCTCATGGAGATCGAATCGGGAGAAGTCACGAGTCACACACACCGAAACGGGGAGCACCGGGACAAACCTTCCTCTTCGTCATCGTCGGAGAGCCGCCGGACGTTCTTGTGGTTACATCCAACATTTTCGAACGAAGACACGCAGCGGATATAACGATCGACAGGAATTCCGGATGAAGTGAAAGTTGAACAAAGAACAATGCCAAAGCATTCCACCCTATGTTAGTACGAGCCGTGCACTCAGCATTCCAAACTTTCCCTTGCCATGCGTGGTAGCGGGAACGAGCATGCATCCAGACGCTTGATCGGCCCTTACCGTCGCTGATCGACCGTCTGGAGAGCTAGATAGGTGGTGAATGATCACAATCAAGAGTGGGTGTACCTATTCGAGGAAATTCCCAAAGTCGACGAAGTTCCGGAAACGATTGTTCTTCACACCGGTGTCGAGCCGATTCCTACTCAACGAATCTTCTTTCGACGGGAACTGACCGCCGTGGAATATGAGGAAACTGTTGCGAGGAACTCGCTCTGGGTCCAGATCGTCCCCTTTCCGCCGGATCACTTGTCCCGCCTTCTTCTGTTTATCGAAGTCGAGTATCGAAATTCGCTCGTCGTTGAAACGGAATATTTTCGGGTAACCGTCGAAACTGCCCCGAACAAAATCGTATTTCGGGAACGGCTGATTGATCGGTCTGTCGGCCAGCTGTAGATTCGGCGGCGGTGGCAAAGCCAGAGGGTAGACCTGTCGCGGCGGCTCCGGCTGTATCAGGGAGGGTCTTTGCGGAACGTCCGCGGGAACTGGTGGCGGCGGAGGTGGGGGCGGGGGAGGATTCAGGGGAAGCCTCGGCGGAGAATGACTCAGAGGGGCCGCGGGAGGGAGTTCAATGGGAGCCAGAGGCACGGGATCTTCGATGATCTGTGGTGTCGGAAGCGGTAGACGCGGTGGGAGCGGTTGGCGAGGTTTTGGCGGCTCCTGGGGTGGAGGTATACCCCGGTTGTCGAAGTTGAACAGTTTTGGTAGCTGAGGTATCAATTGAAAAAGGGCATCGGGACTATCCTTGAAGTTCAGCGGCACGGCACTCGGACTGAAGACTCCGCGGTATTCGATGTGGTTCGGGCCCACATTGGTGAAGAAGAAAAAGGCTTGAGGCGAGCCTTGAAAGGGATTATCCTGGAGGAATGCGATGCGCTTGTTGAAATTAGGCGAGGTTTTGTTGTTCGATTCCTTGTTGGCTCCGTTGTCGATGAAATTGGTATTCGAAGGTTGATCTTTGTTGATGTTTTTGTTAACTTCGAATCGGTTACTGTTTTTGAGGTTGGTGATCATCGAATGGCTGTTCGGTTTGAAAGCTGTCGCACTATCCTCTTTCGGACTGAAGAACTTCCCTGTTGAGCCTCGTTTTCGTCCGGGTGTTTTCGGTGAGTTCGTCTTGTCCTGCCTCAACGATCTCATCGTGGACATGGAGGACGAGAAACGGAAAAACGGCAGCCGACCTCAACGAGACAACTCCTGGCTAACACAGACACTGTAGTTTCTCCTTCAGGGTGTATTCACGACGGATAGCGCGCACCTGATTCTATCTCCTCGAGATGACTTCGGCCACTGATGCAGCTCTCTGACCCTCTCACCCACACGGGGACGGGAGAGCTGAAGGCTAGTTGTATCAGTCCAGCTGTATGGCTCAGCGCAGAAGGTGTCGAACGAAGACCTTTAACTTGTGATTCTGCGGAATGATTCATTACCATGGGGGAGGATCCTGACGCTAGCTAGACATGCTTCATATCCTATCCTTACCCATGCTTGGAATTGGGCGTCGAATGAAGTCTTTTC